AGAATATAAGAAAAGTTGTTACCTTAAAGTGCGGATTTATAATATATCTTTTTTCAATCATTCTCATTTTTTATTCCAAATCTATTCCAATATCTAGAACATTTTGTTTTTTTTTATGTTTTAACAGAGATTTGGAATTTCGATGGTATCATTTGTAAACAATATTTATAAAAATAGTTACGTTAAAAAAATAACAACGATATTATATCATTTATACTTCAAAACTAACTAAATGAATCGGATGACATGTAAATCATATTTCTTAAGGAAAAAATATTTCATAAATAAATTAATTTGTGTATATTTATAATTCATTTTGCATGGATCTTGTGTATATCTCTTTTGAATAAGACAATCATTTTCTTGCTTGGATGCATAATGTATAATTTTTTCATGTGATAAATAAAGATATGAAAATCATATTTTTTTTAATATGTAAATGATAAGCTTGAATGTTAATTGTGTATCTTGAAAATTTGAATGCTATTTATTGAAAAAAATGTTTGTTACGTTTTGAATGGGAATGATCGAACTGTTGTAGTTATTTATATCAAACTTTTATAGCTTATTTTTATTTAAAAAAATATAAAAATAAATTGAGAATATAACTTGTTTAATTCCGTTGCAGTTTTAAATTTTGTTTTAAGAAATAAAAAATATATGTACTGTCCATAATTAGAATGAGATTTTATTTTATTAATCGGTGGTTAAAAATCTTCTATGAAGAAAAAAATACACTCAACAAAATCATTACCATAAAATAATTGATTTTAGTTAGATTCAAAATGTTTACAACACAAAATTCGAACATATTTTTCTACAACAAAAACCGAGTATGACAAAGAACAATCGAGATTGTGGCAGTGCATTTAATTTATTTTTTTAAATTTGAAAAAACTTAAGAAAAAATATATATAACTTACCCTTTTTAGTATCTAATTAATGATTTTGGCGGAAAATTCTTTCGAAAAATGATTTAACCTTATTCTTATTTTATATAGATAGATTTGACTCCATTCTTTAAATAACTTTGAATGTAATATGATACATGATTAGTGAAAGAGTGAACAGAATAGTGTGGTACTTTTAAAAACTTGTTACTATGATTAGTGACTTTTTTTATTTATATATTTTGTTATTTTATTCTTGTTCTTCGACCGATTTGATTTCTTTTTTTGTTTAACTTTGAAATGAAATCTTTACAATATATTGTTACATTTAAATGATTATTTAAGTTGTATATATTGCATATATGTGAAAAAAAAATTAAAGTTCAAATATGATATTTATTTATATGTATATAGAAACATGTAAATTAAATTTCTCTTAAAGATCAAATTTTGTATTTCTCAATTTTATAATAGCACTCTTTTTTTTTTATACCATGATTAGTGCATTTTTGTATTTATCTTATTGATTCTTACTCTCAATTTACGTCAGATTTGTTTCCATTCAAAACGTGTTGAATTTAATATTTTACAATATTAAACAAAATAAAATATTGGCACGTAGTGTTGAATTTAATATTTTACAATATTAAATAAAACAAAATATTGGCACGTAGTAGAATAAATGATCATTTGTTGTTTAAATGATAATTATTAATAGAAAATGCCGATATGAGTACAATATAATATTATATATATATTTATAAACAAATAGATTTAAACTAAAGGAATACTAATAATCAAATAGATATAGATTATGAAGCCTGTTACTTATATTAAAAAGTATTTTTACATCGTAATTAGAAAAAAAAAATAAAAAAAAATCATATATGTTATCTATAAAATGTTTATTTTTAATTATTCTAATGATTTATACATTAAAGTGAACTTAGGTACTGTATGATTTAATTCATTTGAGGTTGTTCATACCTAGGTAATAATATGTGGCCAAATATTATTTTACTGGTTAATGTTTGTGTTGATGAAGTATTATTGGATAAAAAAAGATCACATTTAAATCATTTGAGGTTGTATTTCTACGCATTCTATCTGCACAAACGTGGTATAGAAGGATTAACTCAAAAACTTAATTTGACAAAATAAATTAAAAATTCATTTCCTATTTTAACGGATAGATTATCTCCAGTAATTAAATTTTCTTTTCTAACGGATAGATTATCTCCAACAATTAATGATTCACTTGTGTGCTATTTCTATAGAAGGTAATTAATGAATAAATTGGCAGGAATTTGTTACTAATAAATAGTAATTTTATTAATTTACTATTTTTTGGCAATAATTAATGAAATTGGAGGGAAAGAGTTTCTAAAATTGAATTATGTTAATCCTTATTATATATTAATAGAAGAAATAAAATGAAGAATAAAATTGTGGACCTATGTGCAGCGTATAAGAATGGCTAATTTACACATACACGTAACCTTCCATAAGTTTTTGCAAACATACGAACGTTCAAAATTATTAGTTGGAATACGATATTAAAGAGAATCCCTATATATAATTCTTGAATGCGTTGAGCCTACGTGGCTGCTTCTGGTACTTCGGAATCCTACTTGTCGAAGAATTATGCTTCGTAATTAGGTTTGGAGAAATAATATTGA